CGGAATGCAACGTCTGTCCATTTCCCCGTATATCACAAAGGGATGGAGCCCAAATAAAAGCTGCCATATTACTGTCCGAAACAAGTTCTAAAATCTCCACTATCATGGCGTGTTTAGATATTTGGTTTCTAATTGCCAATTGCACACTCATTGAACCGGTTACCATTACTTTTTTTTTGGTGGTTGGCAATGCAGAAAGGATTCATTTATGGCTGTTGCCTCTTCCGTAAAAATTGAGCAGGCTCCAGCCAATTTTTAATACCATACCAGAAAAATAAATATACATCCCTCAAAGAAAATTCAAAATATACTCACTATGGTTCTTCATATTCCCAAAGGTAAATGAAGTATGATTTAATTATTAAGATTGGTCATTATGATATTGTAAAATGATATTGTAAGAGTTTGGGAGAAGAGTACCTCAGTGAGTTAGGCAATGGACCACTTGGTTCCAGGTTCAAACCCGGCCTGTGGCAGTTAATTATTTATTGTGTTCATCAGCCGTGGAGCGACTCTGAGATCGGGAGACCCTTCCGGGACAAACCCAGCCTTACAATTTAATTGATTAATTAAAGTGAGAAACCTGGGATTGAGCGTGATCCTAGCCAAATCACCTCATATACCAACGTTGACCTTGAAACAGTACTTCCTAACAAAGTACTGAACCCAAGACCCAAGACCATGGGTTGTAGTGGTATATTTTCTTTTTTCTATCATTTAAAGATTCTCTGAATTCAAACACGGATGTAATCTTCGTCGCCAAATTTATCTAACGACCATTGGATTTCCATAATTATTCGCCTTTTTCAGTTTAACTCTACGATTATGTCAATATCACTTCAGAATAAAAACAAATGTATTCATTTTTTTTTAGAATAATACTGGGCAAGTTGTTCAGTGTTTTTCAGTTATCCGTTTTATAGCCAAATTACATAAATTTCATAGGTCAAGTTAGTAATTTCGTTTTGCTTCAGAGTGAAGATGGCAATCTAACAACTCAAGTCCTTGGTGAATTGTCATGCACGTCAATCCGCATTTTATGAACAGCCAGTTATGTCAGTTTATGTTGTTTTTAATTTTTTTTTTTTTTGTTTGTCTTGTGTAACCGGAGATACTGTCAGATAAGCGAAATGTATGATGTAAATGTTGGATTTAAAAAAAAAAAAAAAACAAAGACTAAAAGTGAAGGTTTTTATTAAATTTGTTTTTCTCAAAAATTAGTACAAATTTCCTTTACTCGATTTTTATACTAACCCTGCTAGGAAGGTATTGTAGTATTGTACTGATAAATTTCACATATTCCACGCGGGCTTACTTGTAAAGTAATATAAATATATTTTAGTGTCTATTGATACTCTTTTATTAGTTTATGAAAAAATATAAATGAGAGCTGAGCTTCATGCCGAAAACTGGAAAGCAGTAGCCCAAGATAGGCAGAGGTGGAGAATACTGGTTGTAGAGCCAACCTAAAAAAAAAAAAAAAAAAAAATATATATATATATATTTGTTTGCTTTCCTACCGCTGCTATTTAAGAAAAATATTGTGGTCGAGCTAAATTTTCAATGTGTGGTTTTCAACGGATCATTAAGTTTCAGAGTACCTTGAATTCGAAAAACACATTTTTATACATTGCTCTGTCTGTGCCAAGATTATATCGGAAAATTTAAGACCATTTTTACATTTAGAGCCCAATTTTTGAAAGGTTGTTAACTTTTAAAGAATCATATATATTAGTAGAAACCGGATTCGGTTGTGTTCTTTGGCTAAGTGTGCAAGTGGGTGCACTGATATAAAGCGAATTAAATTTAAATTAGGTGTGGAGTCAGATTATCTCCTGAGGATGCCTGACGAGGCAAAAATTTGGATAGGTTTGAAGTAGAGTAGTTGTTTGTCGAGACTGAAAATACCTTTTTCTACTAATAGTTATTATATTCTCTTTGCCAAGATCATCTTTTAAGAATCATATGTGATAATCGGCTCAACAAAAAATGTATTTATCGTACGAATTTGTAGCTTGTTTTGGAGGGTATGTTGGAGCTAAAAGGTGGACGATATTAATGAACGAGTCGTTGAGCCTATTCGTTTAATTTACTCTTCGACATGACACTTATCCTCAAATATTTTCTTGTAATTTACTTGGACAAACGACTGATATGGGCATAATACATAAAGAAAAGAACTTAATCGGCGATACTGACTTCTTTCTAGACTACTTGACAGACGTTCTAAATTATCGTGATTAATACTGTTTAGAAATTCCTCATTAAACCACTGAGGACATGTGACATCCGATTATAAGGAACTGCAAATACATTAAATATACAAAGAATTCAATCATTCCAGTCAAAAGTTCTACGGAAAAATGTAGATGCTCCCTTTATATTTTTAATCTTACGTTACACACTACATGATGTTATATATATATTCCTTGATATAATATTCGCTTGCTTAATTTTCATACTTGCAGGTTTATTCCGACAGAGATATGTGTATCTTATAAATAAATAAAAACTATTTCATTTTCTATGTCTAAATACTGATCACTCACCTCAAATGTTCAGTATTGTTTTCAATTAAGCATTAAGGATTCTTGGGCCTCAGTTCACAGCTGTATACAAAAGTAAATATTTTCTATAATTGGCAGGAATGAATTTGCTGTACTGCCGCCCACAGCCATGGCAGATAATGGCCCCTCTCCAACTATCATAAGGAAGTTCTTTGACATCAGTTTTTAATTATTTTTCATTTAATTAGCTTCCTAGCCCTTTTACTGTCCATTAATTAAGCTATTTGTTCCACTCACATTTTTTTAAAAATCTACAAAATATAATATTACTCAAATTTTGGGTCGTTCCAAACACTGCTGTGCCTAAGATATGCCTGTGCGTAAATCCGCCTCTGATAATTCTGGGTGGGAGATAAGATGATCAATGTCCAAACTACTGTATATCAGCTATTGTAATTGATCAAAACAGATCTTAACAATTTTTTGACGAATTGTAGGAATTATAGGTTGTTTTTCGTTTTGATATTTTCTGATAAAAATATATTTATATCAAAAAGTGATTCCATGAAGTGTTTCCTTAAAATCTCACCTCGTAAAATTTAATGTTATATACTACTTTGATTTTTCATCTTCATTTCGCCCCATTTTTTTAACTACTAACTTGGGCCCTCAACGAGAACTGAAACGGCCTTATAAAATAAAACAAAATTGTAATAATCATGATCGCCATTTTTTTTATAGTATCGATTGGGTCAATTGTTGCTAGGTGCCTATATAATGATCTAAAATTATTTATTTGGACCTGTTTTATTCCTATAATTTGGGCATGCTTAAATGAATTTATTATTGTCGCCGATAATAACTCCGTCGAATTATTAAGGAGAGGTCTTGATTCCGTATATTTGTATGATTTAGTAAAGACTAATAAAATTATGTAATTTAATTAATTTATAATCAAATTTTTATATTAAAACGGCATTAATGCTGACAGTAAATACTGTAGTACTTTAACAGTTCATAAACAATTATACTGTTGCCACTGGCGGGTCTTTGGGGATATCTGTAAAAGTATTATTGTTCGTGTGATTACTATTTTTTTCAGTTTACTTATCTTTTGGTCAGTTCACTTTTTGATTATTATTTAATTTTATTTTGCTTCAGTTATTTTATATTTTGTATATATATATTCCGCACTATATTTATTTTCCATGAGACAGAATATTATTTTTTTCCTTTCGTCGGCCCAAGACTCCCACTGATATCCTATACTCCCCTATTCTTATACTATAATAGAATGATGTACCAGATATGGATGTACATTATTATTATTTATTTATTTTTAAAAATCTATCTTGGATTCTTTAATAAATTTGTACGATGACTTAATGGTATCCCTATCTTGATCGGCCAGCCCTTGGAGGAAAGCTGTTTTGTTTGGGATGAGAGAATATTTAATCCGGTATTTATCATATCTGCTGTATTTTAGAATAATATGTAATGGATCCTCAATGGAGTATTATATAACAAAAAAAGTTAAATTAAATAATTAAACATTAGAGGAAGTTAATAGACTGTTCTACATGCTTAGATCATAAATATTCATGACGCAGTCATTTTAAAGTTTTTATTAGTGCCGATGTTTCAACCAAAACATGTGAGTCATCACCAGGGCTGAAAATTTTTAATACAATCAGAGATATAGTGATGATGACCCACATGTTTGGGTTGAAACGTTGGCACTAATAAAAACTTTTTAATCACTGCGTCCTGAAAATTTATCACCCATAAATAATTAAATAAAATAAGGCTTCAAGAATCACTTAAAAATCATTTCATTTAGGAAGTTAGTTTCTTTGTTTTTCTTCCATAGTAAATATCATTTTACTATATATATATATATATATATATATATATATATATATATATATATATATATATATATATATATATATATATATATATATATATATATATGTACATATATATATATATATATATGTACATATATATATATATATATATATGTACATATATATATATATATATATATATATATATATATATATATATATGTACATATATATATATATGTATATATATGTATGCGGTAGTGAAAGCATACATATATATATATATATATATGTGAAAGCATATATATATATGTATGTATAAACGAAATTCCAGCTGAAGCACTCCCCCAAATTATTCGCTACTGACTGATACTAGTACATGTGTACAAGAGAGGGAGGGTTAATCCGACTAGTGGACATTTTGCCCGAACCCTGACGGCTACCTTGTGGTTTTTATCCACACTATCCTCACGGAAAATTTTAAGATTCATTTTAATAAAAAGAATTTTTTAAGAGAAAAGAAACCCATATAATAAATGTTAAAGTAATGTCATGTGTGAGTAATTTGCTAAATTTCATATTTTTATCTAGTTTTTAAAATTACAGAACAAGGTTATTTCTTTTCATTACAAACCATTGCTCACGGAATTTGGAGTTTGCAATGTGACCCGCCGAAATTAATGCCGAGGTCTTAATCTGGCCCGCGGGCCAAAAAGTTTGGGGACCCCTGTAATAGAGTATGGTGCTCATGCCATTGAATCATTCTTGGCATTTCTGTTCGTTAAGTAATTATTTGTTTGCTTCTGTGACTATTTACCTTCAAAATATCCATACCATCAATTAATATCCATACTTCTACTGTACTTAAGGCCAACAAAAACTGGCTAGTAGAAGAGTGACCGCTCATGGGATACTGTAATCTGAATACTTAGCCCTCCTAGGAAGATAACGGCAAGAGATGTTGAACAAGTCGGCCACCGAAGAAGAAAGCTGGAGGTTCCGGCTGTGACGAAGGCTGCTGGTATTTGGCCGGACCGTATCCTCGGGGTGTGGTCTTTCGGTGAGTGTTTGTTCTGTCCAGGATGGAGTTCTGTTCCGAAGACTTTAATGGCTCTTCAGCGGCATTAGGGAAAGTAGCTGCGCCATTACTAAATGGTACCTGATGTCATCTTGCGCACTTTCCAGTCTTCTAGTCTTCTTGGAGTTTCCCTGAATTTGTGTATAAAAGTTTATTTTTATAGTGTAGACAATTGTATTTTTACTTTCACTTACGTGTATATGTAAAATATAGTAAGGGTAAGTATTGCGATCGTGAAAATTTTCGAATCTCAGTTTTCAACAGAAATACATGTTTTGAGGTCCCCTGAGTCCAAATAACCAAGTGTCGCAAAATGGTCTGTGTGTGTGTTAACAGTCTAGCTCATAAACGAAAAGTAGTACGAAACTGATATTAAGTATTTAAGGTTCGTATATGAGCCGGATGTGACAGTAACTTTTTCGTTAAAATCGTCTAACCGGAAGTGCCACTTTATATGAACGCTGAAACACATTTTTTGAAAAGTGATTACATATATACAATGCATAGCAAAGTATTTGAAGTATATTTTTTATATTTGAAAAAAGATAATATCGGTGAAATAATTTATCTTACCTGCGCCCAGTGGGCCAGAAATAAAATCTAGTGACGACGAATCAAAACTGTAAGTTGTACGAAATACTTGAACTTAGTGTTTACTTTATCCAGCATACGTCCAGAATTATAAGTCTCTGATATCTCTGATATCTAGCCCTGATCTAAAGTGGTGTAATCATATTGACCATTGATAAAAAAAAGAAGTGGTTTTAAGAAGCTTAATTAGGTACATATTTGTATTTAAAAAATATTCATGGCGCATTTATAAGCTCTCAACGTTTTATCTTACTTTTAATGATAACGGTTAGTAAATTATATCTATTTTAAGCAGAATTTGCACTTTTGCTATTTAAATAAACTTGGAGCAGTTTAAAGTAAGAGTGACATTTTTTTATCACTGTCAGCTTAGATGATTTAAGATTTATATATTTTTAATAAATAATTAGGAGTCAGATATAACGTGAAAAATATATTACCGTTCATTTTGTATCAGGGTTTTTTTTGTTGTTTTTTTTGCAAAATTGTAACTACTGTATTGGATCTTTTGAAAATTAGTAGCTACTTTTTCATAAAATTAGAATATCCACATTATCATGTTTTTTATTGGCAATTATAATTTCTGTATAAATATCTGTCTATTGTTCAGATTTCTGTTCATAATCAAATTTTTTTTTTTGTTTTTCCGAATTGGTGTTGAGACCAAGGTCACTCTTTATTCGGGATAAAAAATATTGATAATGCTGATGAAAGGTCAACATTCATCAAAACAAATTTAAATTCAAATTTTTTATTATATTCCAGTGTACACATTTACGTGATGTATTTATATTCTAATACAACTATAAATATCATAAATAAATATAAAAAAATTTTGATTAAAAGAATTGCTATGTTCACAAAAGTTACTTGTATTTTTACACTTAAGAACATAAAAAAAAAATATTCAAGATTGGCTTAAACATTTTTAGTTAAGAATTTTATGGAACCAACTTATGTTTATGAAATGGATATAATCATCGCTAACCACAATGAAGACTGAAACGACTCTGTAAAGAACTTTTAATAGATCGATATTTAATTCGACCATCCCTCCATCCTAATTCATGCACAACTAATATCCTAAACTCCATACTTGTCATAAATACTTCATACGTATACATAAGTCAAAAAAAATATACACCATATATATAACCAAAATACAATCCCCACACCCCCCACCCCCCCCCAACCTCCCTTCAAAAACCTAAATTAATATCCACCCACAACATCTGATATATCACACTATCGATATAATACCCCCAACAATCCACCCCACACCTGTCCAAATAAAATACAAACCCATTTTAAAAACCCACATACCTTAACCCCATACCAACACAACCCCCCAGACCATCCACCATACACTAATACCACATATAATTACTGCAACACCCCAACATTTCCCACACCCCCCAACTCGCACCAGCCCCCTCACAAATGCTCTCACACCACCCACTCAACCCAAAAACAAAAACTACAACAACACATTAACTAATCTTCTCCCCCATCCTCCAAACAACAACCCCTAACCACCTATCAGAACCCATAAATAAACCAGATCCCCCAACTCCCCTCCATCACCCCCACAAAAAAAACCTTACCCCTCCCATCCACCTTATTAAACTACACAAACACCCCACCTATACACCTTTTCCCCACCCAAATAAAAAAAACAATCTCTCCTTCTCTTCAAACGTTACCTACTCACAACACCACAATCATAACTCAACAACAAATTACCACATCCCCCAAACAATACCCCCAACCACCTCTTCATTCCTATAATAACACCCACACCACCACTAATTCCATACCCCTCACCTACACACCGCCTTCCCCACACTATCACCCCACAACTATCCACCCCATTCAATCAATCACACCAATCCCAATCCAAACACACACCAAAACCAGATACCTGAATACAACCCAAACCACGACTCCCCCAATGCCTCTAACTGTCAAACGCTCCCCAACCTCACCCACCCCACCAATTCCCTACACCCACAATTCTTACCCTCCACCCCACCCCTAACGACATCTTACTTATTAACCTCTTTCTCACTCCACACCCCACCCCCTCCCACCCACACCTACAACAAAACACCCAACCACACCCCCTCAATCATATCCAACACAATCAACAACCAACATCCACACCCCACATAACACAATTAACCAACAACATCCCACATAAACTCCCACACCACCCCACACCCCAACCAAACCCTTACCCCTCCCCCCCAAACCTCAAACACCTCACCCACATAATACCCACCATACATCACCGTAACATTTTGTGTAATAGGTAATTTTCTAAATAATATTTGAGGTTATTTAAAAATCGGAACTTTTAGGCCCACTCTCTCTCCTATTAGATGAAAGGTGGGGTAGCTGAGAAAGGTTATAATTCATGTTCTGTATTTTTATGCAATTGTATATTTTTTTCATATATTTAAACTGTTGAACAAAAAAATATATGCAAATTGATGTGTTTAGATTTATTCAGTCAAATTTTATATTGTATATTTGATTATAAATGCATGTTTTGATTATTTTAAATAATTTTTTTTTGTATTTATTTTGTGTTTAGATATGTAATAATTTGTCTAGTGGACGATAATTATAGTGATATATGAACACATTCACACCAAAATGAAATTTAGAAATAATTAATTAAAATGGAACATTGAAGCTGAATTCTATAATTTTGTGCGTGTTTTCAACTGATTTTTTTTTAGTTAAAAACATTGCTAATTTTCTTTCATTAAAAAATCTAAATTATATTATTTTAACGTTTAGTCGTTAAGTTGTTTAGTCATGTTATTATGTTAGGGTCATTATTGCCTTGTTTTCATTGAAAATTATATGTTATTTTCAAGTTTCAAACATTTCAAAAAAGTAAATAATTTGTCAATATCATTCGTATTATCCTGTAAAATGATGTGTATATCGTTTGTCAAGTCTCAAAATCAAACTGAGAGAAAAATTGGTCCGAATGGTCCCAATGGAAAACTTTGAAAAGTTGCAGCTCTTGATCTAGGCCAGGAGAAAAGCGGAGGGAAGTTTTCCATCGATTTCCCACTTGTCGGGATTCCATCCCGGGATCAATAGGAACGCTCTAATTCGTTTAGTTTAAGCCGCATTGGATACCCTCCAGTCTTGTGCTCTCCAGGACAACTGGAGTTGCTGTTAACTATACCAGATTAAGAAGAGGCCACCGGCCACAGTACTCTCTTCTCCTTCAACATTTTCAATCCAAGATAGTTAGATGGTATTCAGCATTGTACATTCCAATGAAAAAAATTCAAAATTATTGTTCCCTTACATTTTTCTGAATAGAGACTTCTGTTTATATTTGGAATTTGGAATTTCAAAGTTGGAATTCTGGTTTTAAGTGCCAAAAAATCTTGTATAATATTGAACATTACTTCGCAATATCTGGAATTTCAGAGGTCATGTTGTTTACACCTTCTCAGGTGTTTTGAAGGACGTAAACAGAAAAGACCTTCTGATATTTGTCTTGGTGATAGGAGCAGCGAGGAAGTAGTCGAAATTCCTTTCCGGGCACGTCACACTTTTATACTCTCGTTTAACCAGTATTTATTTAAATTTATTATCTATTACTTTTATATTCCAGTCTTCATATATTTAAAAAAAACTGGCAAATGTATCGACACTTGATACATACAAGTACAATGTTTTTTAAAATTATAGAACACGAATGTATGATTTAGTGAAGAAAATTTAAGAAATGTAGAAAATCTATAGTTATTTTATTAACCTAAATTGATGTAATAAATTACTTTACACTAGTGAAATAGGCATACCAAAGTTATATGTCTTTAAATATATATATTTTTTAATTTATGATGTATTCGATAGGTAAGTTATTAATATGTATCTTGATTATAAGTTATGAGAATTAATTATTGTAAATATAATAATACATTGTTGTGTCACCTTTCAAAAATTATTTACCAAGATTTTAATAATTGCCTGTTTTGTTTCTAATATTGAAAATTGTTCTTATCAAAAATTATTGTATACTTATTTTATGTGTTATAAAATTATGTTAGACCACTGCGTATAATTTATTAAGTAAAGCAATAACGAAGTAATGTGGAAATAAGTAGATGGTATGTATTATTTGAGGGAGATATTAATTGTGTATACCGTGGTCGATTACAATATTCCATTTAACATAATAGACCAAAATATTTATACAAATTACTTTTATATGGCCTATTTTTAAACGTCGAGGGGAAAGACATTATTCAAAATAAAACCTCATGGGATTTTCTAAATTATTAAAAAAAGAAGAAATGTATCCTTTTTGAGTTTTTTTTTTTTTCAAATTGTTTCTTTTCCTCCATAACTTGTTTTCCAGGGGGAAATGACGTTTTTCGCACGCGAAGATCTTAAAAATGAGGGATTGGACTTGAAGAATTGACTAAGATATGGGTAACCGAAATAAAAAAAAACACCTTTTAGAAATAATGTATAAAGATATTTAATTTAAGGAGTTTAAAAAAAATAAAATACTGTTTCAATAAAAGTATAAAATACGTATTGTTACTTTATTTGTTAATTGGTTTGTAGTTTTCCAATTTTGTAAATTAATGTTATCATGTTTATTTTTATCACTGTATACTGTAATTATATTGTATTATAGATTATAATGTTTTATGTAGACTGTAAGCTGAGTTTTGTAACAAAGATGCCAGACGAAAGTACCGCCGTCCCTTGGTGGACGTTAAGTTCAGGTCGGTGGGATTTTCGTCTGTATTCAATGTTACAACTGAACTTCAGACGAGTATTTATACTTCGAAACCGCTTCAGAACTTCAAAACTGCATCTCAACTTCAAACTCGATCTGAACTGCATTGTTAACTTGATTGTTCACAACATTCAAAACTGTCACTTCTAAGTGTTGTGTACATTCTGTTTCTATATGCACATCCTCGACATTCATTTTTCACTTTCCTACCAGCTCAAAACGGAATGTGTTTCAAAATGGTGCCCATTGAAAGATGGTGACGCAAATCCGTATAAATTTCATTATTAGTGAATGATTCTCTCTCTCTCTCTCTCTCTCTCTCTCTCTCTCTATATATATATATATATATATATATATATATAATCTTTATAGTATGGAATTAACCTGGTTCACAAGTATGCCTCCTCAGAAAATTTCTGAATCCGCCGTTAGTTAGGTAGAATGTCACAAAATCGACTTTTTTTTTGCAAAAGCCACGTAACACCTACTCCCAAGAAGATAACTATCTTAAACTATTTTTTTAGTTTTCAAGTTAATTTATTTTCAGCCATTTTACACCAATTTTCAAAATTTTTTGTCAACTTAATGACTACACATCTGATTACGACGTTTCGGCTCGTTGAGCCATTTTCAAGTCTAAAATACCAATCATGTATCTGTTCTTTTCAACTTATGCGAATTGCATGCGTCTACTCATGTAAAAAAAAATTATTTTTGTCATGTCCACCTTATAATGTGTCACCTTCATCTCATCAGCCTCATTTCAGTCACGAAACCGACAAGACGAGAAAAGAAAGCAAAAAAAAAAAAAAAGGATGCTGATAGTTCTAATTTCACTGAGAATGATATTGAAATAAAAAGAAAAATGTTAAGAATATAGCTGAAGTAAGGAGGAGGAATGGGATTAAGATGAATGCAGAAGGTGGCTCGATGTGACTCAATACCTTTAAACACTACAAAGACATAGAAAGAGCTCCTGTCAACCATTGTAGAAAAGGAGGATCATCATCACACAGTTGACCAGTCAGTTCAAGGCAGATCGGGATAGCTTCTTCTGTCGATATCCAGGAGAGCTGCTCTTCTTCGGAGGCATAGGGTAACCAACGAAGATCTTAATGCTTACAAACTGTGGAACACACGATGTTCTGGAGCCAGTAACAATAATTAGGTTTATAAAAGATATCTTAATAACGACTTAAATGGCTAACATGAATTATTTTACAACAAGTTATAGAATTCCTTTATGTATTTTGTTATTTTAGTTATTTTTAGAATCCATATTCTGATTTGGTAGATATGCTTGGAGTACGGCACATACAGGCTGTTTTGCTGGCAGGAGTGCTCTTTGTCAACAATTTTCAACAGCGTAATATTGGAATATCTGCTATTGCTATAACCAGTCACAATCCAAATGTATGTACATATTTTTAAATTACTTAAATGAAAGTTAGTTAGGTTCTTTTATTATAGTATCAATGATGTAATTGACCGATTATATCTTTTTGGATCTCATGGATTTAGTTGTATTTAGTCTTTTGAGTTAATAAGGCCATTGTTATATTATTTGACCATTTTGCCACTCTGAATCTAGGAATTCGTGTTAAAAAAAATGACTTCGTGTTAAAACTCAAATATGAATGAATGAATGAATGAAAATAATTTTATTATTCTGGGACTAGTGTCCCTTTAGAACAAGTTACAAATACAGACTATATATTAATATTCTGTTGTGTCCATAAAATACAATTAAATATTAAAATATTAAATACAGAATGATTATAGATAATTATTGACAATATAATTATAGATAATAAAAAAATATAAAAACGTGTATAAATATAAAATAAACAGAAGAAGTAAACAAAACATCAATGAATCACAAAATAATCAAAGTATCTGGGTGTACTTTGAGATTCTTACAGTTTAGATTTTTAAGTGCATTTCGTGATCGGATTAGGAATGGAGTAGGCGTTTGAAGAGGAGAGATTTGAAAGAGA